TTTGAAATAGGAAAACTTTTAAAAAAATTTAGAAAACGCTTGAAAAAGTCGAAAATTTGGGCGTTTTTTGTCGAAAAATTAATTTTTTCGACTTAAAATCAATTTTTTTTATTAAATTTTGTTAAGTGTTTATGCTTAGGAATAGTTTCTAAACAGTTTTGAAACAATTCCACCATTTATATAAAAAATCTAGGCTTGGGCACGAAAAGTTCAGCTTCCCCTGCGAAATTCTTCCCCCGGGAATACGCAAGAATCCGCCTGTTTTTTTCGTCATAATTGCTTTCATAACCTACCGTTTTCTGAACTTTGCGCCAAACCTTTGTAAAATATTTCACAGAGCTGTTGGCCGCTTGACTCAAATTACCCCTTCACATATTGCTTCATCACCATACTCGCATAACTGCGATTCTGAGTAATTTTTCGTATGTACGTCAAAAAATCCAAGCAACTAACGCAATGATAGAAGATACGGCCCACCATTCCGCCGTTAGATACGAGACGTATGGCACGACGAAGACAAATACTGTCGCCATCGCGCGAAGCTCTTCGGAATACCTGGAAGCCAGGGTTTGACCCTCAATTTGATGAAGCCTACTTTGTGACGAAGCTCGCCAGAAATGCGAAAACGACACCCACGATTATCCCACCGATTGCCACCACGAAAACGAGAGCCCGCCGGCTAGGGTAGTCGCGTGTCTAAATACGTTGTTTTTCTTTTTCTTTTCCCATATACAATATATTCCCGGTAATACAAAATTGCTAAAAACACTTCAAAAATACACGATTTTAAACAGATACAGAGATTTCTAGGTATCAAAGTTTCTAGTCTTATAGAACTTCTTTTCACGCTTACAATCAAATTCTCAGCTCCAAGCGCCTGGAAAGAGTTGAACAGATTGTAGAGCACCACAGTCACGCCGTCGTTGAAAAGCGCCTCGCCGAAGACGTTGACGAACAGGAAAGCATTCACGTTAATCTCCTCGAAAACTGTAAAAAATCAGAGATTTTACGAAAAGAATAATGATGAAATCGCGTGAGTACATCTCTGTCTATTCTGGCTGGTAATACTCTGGCCTACTCGCAATCACGGCCACCGGATCGACGGCAGAGATTAACGACGAAAATAACAGAATGTCGAGAAGGGAAAATGAGACCGTAAACCAATTCCAAAGCGAAAGCGCGTAGAGGGAGAGACCTGGAAATAAAATAAAAAGGCTTCAAAATTCGTTCCCACCGATCGCAGCGCAATTCCAGATCGTGCCCGCAACAGCGAATAGCAGCACGGAATCGATATTCTCGAAAAGGGCACGGTTCGGCATAAAATACCCTAAATTATTTCGATTGAAGTAATTTCCAAAGTATTACCAGCGTCAAAAATAATTGGTGGGAGTAGGTAGATGAAGAAAGCATGGCTGGTTAGGGTATAGACATCAACGGATGCGCCGCCATATTTTAGTAAAGCTCCTAAAGGCTTTTTCAATCTTATTCTATCAAGTATAATAATTTTAACTCCTGGAAAAGCTAGAAATTATTTTCCGTTTTCTTTCAACTTACCGAGTCCTAATCCAACAACGATAAGTAATGAAGAATCCGGTAAAAATCTTGTACATGGCTTGCTGAGAACGAAGACTAAAAACAGCAATTCGGGGTTAGCGGGCGTAGCCCGCTAACCCCTTTTGGTTTGAGGTACCCCCCCATACGACTCTTTTGGGGTCCTTTTCCGGATTTAAAAAAGAACCAAGCATCGGATCGCGAAACTGAATACACCATCGGAACCGGCGACACTTTTTACATACTATAAGCTTTCAAAAATTAAAAAAGAGTGAAATTTCGAATTTTAACAGCCGATTTAAATTGCGTTTCGAGGGGGGGTCTGCGTTTGTATGTGTGTGCGTACGCAAAACCTTTGTAGTCGTCAAAAAGTGCCTTCCCACCATCCGTTTGGGCTGAAATTTTTTACAGTTATTGGGTCAATGATAATCTCGGACCGCAAGAAGAGTTTTTTTCCAAATAGGCTTTTAAAAATTTATATTGAATTTTTAAGTTTAGAAGCTAAATTGCGGTCAAAACAATGGTTAGTGATGTCCGTTTGGGCTGAAATTTTGCTCAAATATACATTAGACCATGCTGGAATAAGTAAAGAAGAAATTGCAACGAAAGAATGCTTCTTCTCTGAGATATTATAACTTTAAACCTTCGCCATACGGGGCGCCACCCTCCCCTTTGGCGGCCCCAGTCCCGGGTCAGGGCGGGCGGGTCTAGCTTCCCCAAGGCAGGGCCCCAGTCTCCCCGTTGGCCTAGTGGTTAGCACGCTGTATGGGAAGACTTGGCTCCCGAGTTCGAACCCCACCCAAAACATGGTTTTTGCCGATTGGCCCCCGTGCATCCTTATGGTTTTCTAGTGCCGTCACAAAGCGCCGCAGGCAAATTTTTTTGAAGTTGTGCGTACAAGGGTTCATCTGAATAAGTATTCCTTAGCTTATTTTACGATCTTAACAATAAGATTGAGGCAAAAAGGGCTAAATTCTCTCTAAGGCTAAAAAGAGTCTTTGTGGGGCTTGGTTTCGCAAAGAGACGTTCTCGTGGCAACAGAAAGAGCTATTCCTTCAAACTCTAAAATGCCACAGAATGTGGGATCAACCAAAAGTTGCTGGCACCTTATTAAAATGGACAGATCTAGTTTCTAGCGGTTTCGGCTTGCAAATAATTTCTGTTATGATCTATTTGCACTTTCTTGAAATTAATCTGTGGACCTGACCTGTGATCTGGGATAGTACCGAGTTTATTAAGGTTTTAAATAGCCAGCAACTTTTTGTTGTTCCCGCATTCTGTGGCATTTTTAAGAGTTTGAAAGGAATTTAGCTCTTTTTGTTGCCACGAGAATTCGTCTCTTTTTGCGAAAACCAAAAGCCCTTTTTTAAAAATTACGCCCTATTTTCAACAGAACTCACAAATTCTTGCTCCACTCGCAATCAGGATCCAGATAGCGATTGTGTATGGAGTTTTCACGTGATCCCATTGATTATGTATCACCTAGGACATTAATTTTGGTACTGGACTGTTAGCGGGGGCCTTCGTTCCCTTTCGTTTTTTTCCTCCTGTACCACCTACCTGTTGATAACTCTATAATGTATTTTGATCGTTTTATAGTAGTTTTTTATTGCTAGAAAGTTGGCAAAAGTATTTTTAAAACTTTCAAAAATTCAAAAGATTTTTGACCGAAAAGCCAAAATTTTCGAAAAATAAACTTTTAGATCTGGAAACCATGTAAAATACTACAAAAATTGTTATATTTCGTTATAGGACCGTAGGGAATTACCGGGAAAAATTTGGTCGCCCCCAATAATAGTCAAGAACCTTTTTTTGTAAGAATCAAAAACATTTGCCTACCTGAAAACGCTTTTCTGCCGGCTCGTTTTCGCCCTCTTCTGCTAAAATAGTAGAATTTCCAGTGTCTGCATAAACCAGCCCAATTATTGCCAAGCCGAGCAAAAACCGCAGCATAGTCGCCGCTAAAAATATCCACAAATCGGTAAAGACACCACGGGAGTGTAAGGGATCAAATTAGACGCGACTGAACTGAACGGAATGTATCTCTCTATCTATTCTCGTTGCCTCTCCCTTCCCCCAAAACAGTTCCATCCGGATCCGCTGACGTTTATCGACCAATTAGGTGTCGGGGGGAAACAGGAATCTCAAAGTGGGCGAAAAGGCGACAGTGATATCAACATCACAAAAGAGCTGTTTCAAATGTTTGAAAAATGCGCTTTCCGCTAAGTATTCCGCCCTCGAAATCGAATTTTGCATAATCGCTGAAAGGACGCGCCGCGCTTTGTGGCATGTGACTTTCGCAGCCCTCTTTTTGCCGATTTATAACCGACACCGCTACCTGAAAATGGCCGGTGAAACCGGGTAATCTGTCGAAATGGCTTTGTGCATGGCCTGTTTGGAACGCGAATTCGGAAACAATTTATGTGGAAAGGGGGGGGGTTAGGCCGAGATGAAGCTGGAAGATGGCGTGTAGATCAGTGGTTCTGAAAAGTGGTTCTTTAGCATTATCTTTTTCCTAGGGATCCACTTTACCTAACATAAATAGCGGCACTGTTTTTAAACTGTGTCTATTATTCCTAAACGTAAAAATTTTACAAATCTTTATTAAAAATATAAAAAAATATCGATGACCGTTTCTGGACCAAAATTTTTGACTTTTAACACTTTTTAAAAGTTTTTAGATAGTTTTTCAGGTTTAAATATAGTTATTTTACTAAAAACACTATTGAAACACTTATTATTAAGTTACTAGGCATTGCCAGACTTATGCAAAAAATTGCGCGCCCTCCTCCCGATAAAGCGAAAGAACCTTGAAAATTATTTCGACCCTGTCGACCAGACCAACCTTTTTCTGTTTCAAAGAAGGCTGCTTAGCAGGCGGTCCGACGTTGTCCATTTCTTTGCCGCTGTGTTCGTCCGGTGTTTTGATGACGCGCTTGTTCAGCGGGTAAAACAGATTCCACCACTTCTTTTTGACCGGCTTCGGCAGCCCTTCGGTCGGGTAAAAAAGTTCTAAAATGCATGACATATGTTCAATTTTTTTATGCTTTTATGGGCCCACCTCCCGTACAGGACAGCACGATCAACAGCACGACGCTCATCAACACGACGAAGAAGAAAGAGCCCAGCACGACGAATTCCTAAAGAAAGAGGTCGACGACCCATTGTTTCTGATAGTTTTGCCCACTCGCTTGGCGTCGGGCTGGATCCCAGCAAAGAAAAACCGAGTTGGTTCGCCGAGCTTCACCACGGCGTCAAATAGGCTGTAGACGGCCGCCTGGGTGTAGGGCCCAATCGAATCGGTCAGCCAGCGTCGAACCTGGAAAAAAACTTCGTCTTTGTGGAAGTCGGCGAATAACAAGATTTTGACGCTTAGACAACATTGGAATACAAATGACGGATTGGGTATCCATGGACTACCGTAATACAGCACCACTCGGTTAGTAAAGCGCCAGCGGGCGCGCCAACTTCGGTGCTATTAGCGGACGCGCAGGCGCGCCATTAGCGCTTTTGGCAAAAGCGCCCGTTGGCGCGCTCATTTGTCGGATTGCGCTCATAAAGCGCCCATTTCTTTCAGCTGTTCGTACTGGGGTTGTAATAAAATAGTTTTTGTTAGGAATAGGGGTGTATTAGCATCGCTTTTGCGATGTAATACACGAGAAGAGGTGCATCCTACGTGTATGCCCAAAAATTGTCGATCTGCGCGCCTAAATAGCTTGTTTAGAAGCATAATCTTTGCAAAACCAATTTTGTTTTTGCCGCCATAGCGCCAGGGCACGTATTTGTTCTAAAAGCTAACTAACGTACCTTTTACTCATCTGGTCGCCCGCTACGCGCATTTTTCTAATTCTAAACGGTTAGAAACTGATACAAGTTAACCTAAATGTTTCTTATTCAGGGAGACTTACCCTTACTAATCATGTAGCACGCGCAGTTCCCAACTTCATTGTCGCCTCGAAAATGTAGCTTTGTAGCATAGGTGGTCAAAACCTGCAATGGTTTGCTCACATAAAATCAAACTTACGAAGCTGTAAAAAACTTTGTACCTGGGTCCTTGGGAATTGCGATAATTAGCAGGTTGCTAACCTTTCAACAGTTACTTCTAACAAAACAACCGTGATCATAAATTGTGTTTAATAAAATCTACCTAAATTGAATAATTCTTAGCGAAATTTTTGAACCGTTGAAAGGTGTTCAAGAATTCAAATGCGCCAATGGGCGCTTTTCTTCGCAATTGCGCCACTTCGCGCTTTTTTTTGTGTAATTTCGCGCGTCTGCGCTAGTGGCGCTTCCCTTCCCGATAAGCGCCCTTGGCGCTCTCACGCTCCGTATTGGCGCGCCCGCTAGCGCATTGATGAAGTTGGCGCGCCCGCTGGCGCTTTATTAACCGAG